TGTAGCTGCTGCTGATTTTCGAAGGAACGAACGCTGGAGGAATGAAAGGGATCCTGAAAATTGGAGCTTTAATAAGGAACGAGGTGACACGGGCGAGATCAGAGGCAGATATTCCTCTGGGTGGGGGGAAATAAAATATGATGGACAAGAGAGGAAGAGGCAGGGTCTGTTTGGAAAATGGATTAGATTAGATACAGCATCGTTCTCGCCATGTCAAAAAAGTGCTTCACAAGGTTTACTGTAAAGGGTAGTGACTGTGTGCTTTATCGCCGAAACGTTTTAAAGGTAGGGAGGGAGGTGATTTGGAGAGAATCCAGGGAAGAAGGTCCAAAGGGGCATTGGTGGAATGGCTAGAAACTCGGCCGCCAATGGTGAGATGCGTCGGGTGAGGGCAAGGGGGAAACAGATGTGAAACAGGGACCGGTCACTGAGCGGAGGGAATGGGCAGACGCGAGGGAAAAGGAGTGGAGAAAGATAGGGAGTGGGAGAGCAAGGTGCTTGTTTGAAAAATGGAGGAGATTGAATAGGACGAAGGGAGAGAGAGAGAGAGAGAGAAAAAGAAAAAAAGAAAGAAAGAAAGAAAGAAAGAAAGAAAGAAAGAAAGAAAGAAAGAAAGAAAGAAAGAAAGAAAGAAAGAAAGAAAGAAAGAAAGAAAGAAAGAAAGAAAGAAAGAAAGAAAGAAAGAAAGAAAGAAAGAAAGAAAGAAAGAAAGAAAGAAAGAAAGAGATTCCCCTATTTACACACTCGCACCCTCCACTCTCTCTACCGCCAGTACAGAGGGGCTAGGTTGCAAGAAGAGTCAAAGGTTATTTTGGGGACTGAGTTGTGTGAAGCAGAAGCACATCAGTGTTGCAAATGGGTTTGCAGTTTGCACTCTGCACGTTGCTTCCTCTGTATAATTATCCAAATAAATTGCTCGCTCTCCCAGGTCGTGCGTGAGAATCACATTAACCGTTGCTCTGACCCATTGGTTAAATACTTTGGGAAATGCATTTTGTGGAAAACTCATTTCCCAAAGTATTTAATCATTTTCCCTTCCCTTTCCCTCCCCGATCCAAATGTATTTCTAATGAATGCAACTTGTTGTTGTTGCTGCTGTTGCTCCTTAAAAATTGCAGGGGTTCTTTACAGGGGTCTCTTATCTTTGATTGGTAGCCGCCCCCAATTCGACCGCAGAAATGTATATCGAGTCATTGCCCATCAATGTCCCCCCACTTTCCCTTCCCCATCTAAGGGTGGTCGTAGCAAGAGGCGGGCGGCCGGGCAGGTGGGTGTGAGCTCCGCAGTTTACGCTGGAATTGTCCTCCTTGAGTGACACACACCAGCGAAACAAAAATAAAGGTGTTATCATCGTTTTCGGCCACCAGCCTTTCAGGGGAGAAACAAACAATAACTTCTCTAAACTCTCCCTAGTTTATCATTGCAAACCTAAATCTAAATGCGCTTGTTACAATGATACGATCTTTGTTGATCTTTTCTGTATTCCTAATTTCCTCCATACAATATACGATCCCGATAAAGTGAGAAGGAATGCACAATCACAGTTACGCTTGGCATGTTAATCTAGAATAGTATTGTGTTTAATTCGGAGATAGAGATCTTTTTTACACAGGGGAAACTGAATACCGCTCTATCTCATTCAGATTAGGATCTGTGGTGCACCATTGTGCAAGTGGCACAAGGCGAATAGACACAGGCATCTCGGACTTACTGTATTATGGTAACACGTGGAGATAATGCTCACAGTCTAAACTGATGTTCCAGTGCAGTATTGGGGGGCGTGGGGCGGGGGGGAAGCACTATATTGTCGGTGTTGCCATCCCTTGGATGAGGCGTTAAAACAAGGGAACCCTGTCTATGCCTGTTCAGACAGACGTTAAAGATCCCATGGCACTCTTCGATAAGAAAAGGGAGTTTCTCTCCTAGTGTCCATTGGAGCGTTGATTGTTTCAGACACAGATTAGACAGTTTTCGTTCAGGAAATAACATTATGGGATGCAGTACACAGGGTAGTTCAGGACATATGTGCATGCGACTGCCAGGAAGATGGAAGGTGAACTAGATGGACCTTGGTCTCTTTATCGTCTAGCATTTTTTATGCTTCTATGTTCTTCTGATGTCCATGCCAACAATACCCAAAACAAAAAAAAGTTGGCCAGCTTTTTTTTTAAATTGCAGTCATTAAAAGCCTGGCATGGCGTATAAATAACAAAAGCAAGTCCAGAACTGCCCTCTCATGCAAAACAAAGCATGAGAGCTGTTGGAAGTATGCGTAAAACATTAGAAATACATTTGAATCGGGAAGGAGAATGATTTTGAAGTCAGACCATCCGTGGCTTGGGAACTGATTAAGATTGTTAAGCTCTGCCAACGCAGTGAAGGTCGCCAGCTCTAATGCTCTCTGAAACAAATAGGAAACCAGAAACCTCTAAGACGTAGCTATCGTCAGTCTCCCTCCTCAACCTTGCTACCTGCACCCCAACGGGCAGGGTGGCTGGGCAAGCAGAGGTTTGAGCTGGCTAGACTCCGGCAGTTCCCCCCCCCCCAACGCACACTCTGGGCTCCCCCAAGCCTTGGCTCATGCCAACCTGCGCCTAATACTTTCCGGAATTAGGTAAGCAAGGATGAGTCCCTCCAGGAAGTCAGAGAGTGCGCTTTCCATTCCAACAATCTATCTCTGGAGTGCCAATGCTTAGACGGGATGCACGGAATTCTCAGTTTGGTCGGGAATATTCTCAAGCACGGCGATGGGTTTCCGCCTGTGTTAGACACCCGGCTGACCCCAAAAAGCCTTTTAACAAGTACTTACGTCTGTTTGATGCTGTATCAAAATGCCCTGGCAGCTAGCAAGAGAAATTGTGTTATCGGTGGTGTTTGTTGTGTTTTGGATCAGGAATGTGCGTTGAGAGAGGTTAAAGGAATTGCTTGGGGTGGGGGGAGAAGAGATGATATTAAACAGAATCTGATATTAAACAGAAGTTCAGCTGGGAAGGGAAAGAGAGAGCGAGAGAGATAGGTTGAACTGGGCGAGCCAGGAGATTTGCTTCTACTGTACTGTAGCTAGCAGTCAGCTGGTCTGAATAGTAATCCATTCAGTCAGTGTTTGTTGGACTTTGCTGTTCTTGGCAGGGACCAGAGAGAAAGAGAGGGCGAAAGAGAAAGAAAGAGAGAGAGGAGAGAAAAAGAAATCAACAACAGGATCGTTATTCATTTCCACACAGAAATGACACTAAGCAAGATTGAGAATGAATTAGGAAAGTAGGTGAAATTGACAAATCACTGGGCTCAATAATAATAATAATCCTTGCATTTGATACAGCGCTTTACCATATCCCCACATCCTCAAAGTGCTTCCCAGGATTTACTGCAAAGTGTAGTGACTGCGATCTATTTTGTGGGGGAAACAGGGCAGCCAGTGTTGCGCACAGCAATGTCATTTTCTCTCTGGGTCTCTCGCTCTCGCTCTGGTGTGGGGTTCTGGCTCCCAACTCTTCACCGAGCTTTGGAGAAGTTTTTTTTTAGAAGCTAGTTTATTTGAGGCAGGGGCCAGGGAAGGGTCAGGGGGGGGGGGGGAGAGAGAGAAGGAGAGAGGGGGCCCCTTAAAAACAGCAGCCAGGAAAATAGAGGGCAAGACGAAATCTACAATCCAGAGCTTTGCAAAACTAAGCCAGTGAGTGAGTGTTGGAGAGCAAGAGAGAGGGGGTGGGACCCCTGGATAGGGCTAGTTTATTGGTAGGCAGGCAACACTGCTTGATGGATTAGCTTCATATGGATCAAATTACACCATTTGCGTGCATAGGTTTGTTTTTCTGCAGCCCTGACTTCTCTCTCTCTCTCTCCCTCCAAGACTTCGAAGGCAGAGAGTTTGTGTTGAGATTTTTTTTACATATGTGTACGCACACATCGGATAGTTTACGGGCTGTTTTCGAGCGAGCGAGAGAGAGAGAGAGCGAGAGCGAGTGTGTGAGCGACAGAGAGAGAGAGAAACAGAAAATAATACAGTATTTTTCTTATAAAAGTTTGTTATACTTGGGATCTTTGGCTGGCGTTTAAGGTAAGTTGCTGAATACTTTTCCTGGAAATTGCGGTGGAGAGTGAAGTTGCAATTGGGGTGTGTGCGTGTGTGTTCTGTGCAAAGAGATGATCGCACTGTTCCTGGAATGGAGAGAAATAGAGAGATAGAGAGAGAGACGGACATATATACGGCCACAAATATACGGTCAATTCACTTTACAGTCTATCCTGTGAAGCGCTTTGAGACGTCGAAAAGACATGAAAAGCGCTATATCAAATGCAAGGATTATTATTATTATATATATATATAAAAAAGAGATATGCAGAAAAAGACTGTCAAGTGGGGAGCCTGTATAGTAGGGGGTGGGGGGGTGTGGGCAGTGAGTGCTGTTTACACTGCTCGCCTCTGTAACAGATTGTCCTTGGGTTCTTTCCTGGGAACAGAAAGAAAATCCATCAATTTCTGCCCCCGAGGATTGACTGCTCCTCTCGGGGTTGTGTTCAGCAAAGGCAGGAATCAAACCTGCAGATACGTGCGAAAGTCACTCTGGAGTTAGTTGTCCTCGACTGGTCTTTTTTTTGTTCGATCTTGGAACAAATCTGGTTTTTTTGGAGTGAGTGAGGCAGTCAGTCTGTGTGTGTGCTATTGCTCAGAGAGCGCGTGTGTATGTGTGTGTGTGTGTGTTGCTTAAGAGAGTGATGGCGGTAGGGGGGAAGAGTGTGGGAGTGTTAAGGAGGGGGGGAGAGAGAGAAAGAAAAGGGAGAAAATCTCTGTTGACATTTGATCACACTTTAAGCCTTGAAGATCAGGTTATTTTGGGGAGTTGGAATAAACTCTAATCAGGTTTCTAGGACAGTAGGGAAAGGGTGATATGTATATATGTGTGGGTTATTGCTTTAGAGAGTGGAGGGGAGAGTCTAAAGAGGGGGGAGAGAAAGGGGCAAGATATTTCTTGTTGACATTTGATCACACTTAAGATTTGAAGATCAGAAGGCTATTTGGGAGGGGGGGGTTGGGGTCTGGGGTGAACTCCAGTCAGGTTTCGAGGACGGTAGGGAAAGGGTTACGTGTATTATTGCTTAAGAGAGTTGGGGGGAGGGGGGGGTGGGTTGAGTGTGTGAGGAGGGGGGAGAGAGATAAAGTGAGAAATAGACATTTGATCGCACTACGCTTAAGGTTCGAGGATCAGAAGGCTTTTATTTTGTGCGGGTGGCGGAGGGAGTTGAGTTGGGTTGAGGGCTGGGGGTTTGCTTGGGTGAACTCGAATCAGGACAGTCGGGAAAGGGTGATGTGTTTGTGTGTGTACGTGTGTGTGTGTGTGTGAGGGAGGGAGTTTGTGTTTTCATGTGGCAGCTGGATCCAAACAGTACTGACTTGGCAGTACAAAGCTGTGGGGGAGGAGGAGACTTGAGAGAACTTGATGAAAAGCAGTTGTGAAAGAGAACAATGGATCTCGTGAACCTGTGGATTTTGGGTTTGGAAACGACCTGTTGCGGCAAAGGAGCTATTCTTTTTTTCCCCAGATGGTGAAAGGTGTGTGTAGGGGTTGGGGGGGGGGGGGGGTTCAAAGGGACTGCGGTAACAAGGTGGTACAAAGACTTCTGAGCACGAGCTTTCAAGTTATTTTTTTTAAACCGGGACGTCAGGATTGGCCTGCCGCGTTTCGCCCACAGAATACACAGGCACTACACTTCACAGCACGTCCTGCGAAGCGCTTTGAGACGTCTCGAAGACACGATAGGGCGCTATATCAAATGCAAGGATTATTATTTTAAAAACTGCTTTGCGCACTGATTTTTCTTTAGATGGGGGAAATTGGTGGTAATATAGGGGTTGACATAGCCAACGAGATTTCACAATTACGAGTTTTACAGCGCCCTGAGTCACTGTGCGAACGTCGCTATATAAACGCAAGTTGCTTCTTTTATATTACAATTACCCCAGGAATTATTCCTACCCTCTCCCCTTCACATTGTCTACAGGTGTGCATATATTCGCTCAGAAAATTCTCTTTAAACCAGGTTGTATCACAGCAAAGCCCCACCGTAGTCTTAACGTTCAGATGGCGCCTTTCGCATCGGGGAAGACGTCTCAAAATGCTTTGCACAGCTGACTGGGAACTGGAGAGGGGGGAGGCCAGGTGCGGAGTGTGGAGGGGAAAGGTGACTGAAAGCACAAGACAAAAAGATAGCTCCTAAGGCAGCTACAACTGGCTTAAGCGCAGTTATGAAAGATGTCCTTGTTATTATGTCAGACTGTTTAGTACGTCAGTTTCCCCGCAGCCAGGTGTATAACAGAGACTTAGTGTTTCCACATGTGATGTTATAGTAAAGTATCTAATCCCTCACCCAATGCCAACAACCTACAGCCTTCCAACACACTCCCTCCTTCCCACCTCTGCTCAATATTTGACTAAAAAAAAGTTCTTTATCAAATGCAAAGATTATTATAAATATATGAGTCAATCCAGTCCCACATTGCATCTCCCTTATAAATGAGTTGAAGTTTGAAGTGGTTTGGGACTGAGCCAGGGGGGGGAACGAAAGTTTTTTAGGTTCAGGAAAGTTGGGAATAGAGAACTTTTGAGTTTTACTTTTTGGAAAAAAAAACGTTTTGAAACATTTTCAAACTTTTATAACTACACAGTGTCAACAGTGGAGTGTACTTATTGATTTGGGATTTGTTTTTTCAATAATAAGTACACAGTCAGAGATTAGCAACATCCCCCTCACCCATAATAATAATAATATTTGCATTTGACGTAGCAGTAAATACCAGTAAACCCGGTAATTTGTTGATTGGTTTTCCAGGGTTAATAATCCTTTAAAAAATAATAATAATTTGGTCACTCAATCCAAACTGCTTGTGGGACGCTGCTGTGTATTCTGTGAAGCGCTTTGAGACGTCTCAACGATCTGATAAGGCGCTATATCAAATGCAAGGATTATGATTATTATTATATGGCGCCTGATCACATCGTTGAAACGTCTCAAAGCGTCCACAGGATATCCTGCAAAGTGGAGTGGCTGTGTATTTGTGGGTGAAACCCATGCTTTCCCCCCAATCCCCGCCTACCCCATTCCACCACCCAATATCCATGGAGCGTTTGAGACTCTTGAGCAGACGAGCCCTGAGGCTTTTCCAATGGGGACCCTCTGGCAATGGAGGCAAGGTCCTAGCGCCGGTTGTATTGAGGATGGTCAACTTGGTAAATCCAGGTGAACTTTTGTTCACCCCGCACTATAAATGGACGAACTGATTGAAGGGTTGGATGGAAAACAAAATGCACCCATTCATTCAGCTAGCGTTACCTCGCTCCTGAGCAAGGCGTGTAACATTATGAGCTTTCTATTATTCAGAACTGGCAAATATCCTTGGATATAGAGAAACTATATTGGATACCAAACATGAATTATGCAGCAGAAAAAAAATACACCCATTTACAACAATGAGGACAATAGGCAAGGCCAGCGGCCTCATCGGACTTTTACACCCGTCTCGAGGCAAGTCAGTGTTTGTGGGTGGCAGTTATACATTTCTCGACAGCTAATGAGGTAGGTTGCAGGGTGAGTGGCAACGGGTACAAATATATAAAGTATTGCAATTAGCGTCTTCCTGCGCTGTGGAGCGAGCACTGAGTTTTTTAAGCTGAGCGACACCAAAGGTAGCCAGGAAAATGTGTGTGTGTGTGTGTGGGGGGGGGGGGGGGGGGAGGGGTGTTTAAGTCCTGACCACTAATCATTTCCATTGCACTTAACAGCGATGTTGTTAAAAGTTATACAGTACCTGGTGCGAGACAGCTGATAAAAATTAATGCAGTGAACAGCCCATCTGCATTTAGCTTAGAAGTTACAGCACAGGCAGAGGCCAACCTGCCCATCGAGGCAGCGCCAGCGATTGTGGTACCCCGTGGTGTAGAGGTTTGTTAGAGCACTCTCCTCGCAAGCGAGAGGACCGGGGTTTGATTCCCGGGCGGAGCGAAACCTTAAGGAAGTTTCCTGGCTCTACACGCCCCTGTTTACCCAGCAGGAAATGGGAATCCGGTTTGTTAGTAAATTTGTGGATCGCTTTCCGGGAGTAATAATCCTTTCTAAAAACAATTGCTCAGTCAGTCCATGACCGTTGCGGGACACAGCTGTGTGCAATTGGCTGCCGCGTTTCGCCCACAAAATACACAGTCTTTACCGTATATTCTGTGAAGCGCTTTGAGACGTCTCGACGACATAATAAGGCGCTATATCAAATGCAAGGATTGTTATTATTATTATTATATTGTAGCAGCGTGACTTCGAAGCACATTATTTTAAAATTTAACTTTGCCATATTTTATTCTCGGTTTGTCAGGTAAGAGATCCCACTCTCAAAAAAAAAACATTCTACAAACAGCTTTCCTTTTAAACAGATTGGCCCGTTAATCACATCGAGTCGGTGCTTTCAGATGAGACAGAGACGAGACAGTTTTCGCTGCAAAAGAGAAAGAGATGCAGCGTTAATCAAATTTGATCTCAATAATAAGAGATATACGCACAGTGTATCCGCAATTTCCTTTATATCCAGCAAGTAATTACAGTGCTTTACAGTGGAATCTGTAAAATGTTTTTAAAACGCATGTAACTATAATAATTCTTGGTTTTGATATCCTGCTGTAGAGTACTGTGCGGAAAGGACTTAAAGTGCTTCACGCACTGAGCTACTTTGAAGTGTGGCGACTGCTCTCACGTAGGCAGCTTATCTACAGCAGCAACATTCCACAAACGGCAATTGGACATGTATTCTCGTTGTGGTTAGGTTCAGATACTAATTACCTAGAATGTTGCAGCATGGAAGCATTCAGACCAACAAGACCTTGCGGGTATTTCTACCTTTGAACTCGTACAGTCTAAGCTGACGCTCCAGTGCAGCGACGGGGTGTGTCGTGTTGTCAGAGGTGCCGTCCTTCTGGTGAGACGTTAAACCGAGGTTCGTCTGTGCCTGTTCAGGAGGACGTTAAAGACCCCACCGGGCAATTCATGCTCCGGCCAACAATCCCCCAGATAAAATCGTCATTCTCTCCATGGCTGTTTGTGGTACAGTATTTAATTAAAAGCAATAATACTTGCAGTTGATCTAGGACCTTTCGTGTTGGGAATTCGTCTCCCAAGTGCTTCACAGGATTCGCTGTAAAGTGTAGTGACCGTCTGTTTTGCAGGTGATCTGATCCCCACTGAGGCACGTATCAAGGGGGCGTGGGGGGGGTTTGTGAGCAGTCACGGAATTAGGGTAAATTATTCAGGAGGGCTCCAGGGGGGTGGGGAAGAAGGAGAGAGAGGACAAAATAGAGAGCTTATTTTGTCTGACTGTGCCTTTGGGTGAAGCTGGCAGCAACAGTATTGATTACGTCTGCACAGATAACTATCCATCTCTGCTCACTAGACCGTCCTCAATATTCCAACAGAGGTTATTGCTGTGGATGCAGGTCAGTCGTTTTGTGGTCGGGACAAAGGGGGAAATAGTGTTAGCAATGTTGTATCTTAGAACAATAATCCTTGCCTTTGATACAGCGCCTTTCGTGTTGGGAGGACGTCTCAAAGCGCTTCACAGGGTTTACCATAACGTGTAGTGACTGGGTATTTCGTAATCCAATGTGGCAGCCAACTTGTACCCAGCAATGCCCCATAAACCAATTTTATCTGGAGTATTGTTGGCCAGGACACCAGAAGACCCTTTTTTTTCAAATCTTTAATGTCCACCTGAACAGTCACGGATGAGACCACAGTTTAACGTCTCATCCGAAGGACAGCGCCTCTAACAATGCAACACCCCCTCAGCACTGAATTGGATTGTCAGCTTAGACTACGTGATTCCAAGTCCCGATGTGCTATCACTGCGCCAGGCTGACGCACAAAGGCACCCTCCCACACTTCCACCCCCAGCATTGCAGTGGAGCTCCTAGGCTCTGGAACTCCATCCCCCAGTGCCTTCGCCGCCTCCTCCCTTTCCTCCTTCAAGGCCGGTCTCAAGACCTTTCTCTTTGACCGTGCCTTCAGCTCCCCTCTCGACTCTCTACCCCCTCCTCGCTCCCTCCCTTCCCTCCCCTCACCCTGACCATTTCCCCCCTGCTCGGGTCCTGACCCAACTGTCCAGCGCCTTGGGACGTCCTCCCGACGTGAAAGGCGCTCTATAAGTGGAAACTTGTTGTTGTTGTTGAGTGTCTTCCAAGTAGTGTGTGTTCAAAGTTCAAACTCCCGGCCCCAGAGACGAGAGTGCTGCCAACCGAGCCAGGCTGACACACAGCTTTATCAATTCCAACATCTCTGAGGAATTAGCCTTTGCTTTGCAACAATTTGCTGACATTACCAATGTTCGGAAATTCGCAATAACAGTTCTGTGCGTCGCTGGAATGGTTTCTGCAAGAGAGCAGAGTCTTGAAACCATCTGTTCCTTGACATACAATAGCAATGAGATGTAGACCATGTTTTGTGTTAATCTGCATCTGTTCGTGTAGGCTTCTGTGTGCGCTGTTACTCTTGCTTTAAAGGGAGTGTGTTACTTAT